CGAATAACTTCTTCGAAAGCCAGCAGTCGAGGGAAGCTAAGAACATCGTACACAATCGTCAGGTTACGCTAACACACACACACACACATACACACACACACACAAACAATGTCCGACAAGTTACCCTTTTTTCTCACGTACAGTATTTCTTGGGCTATAACACGCATCCGGTGCGCAGTCCGCGGGTGCACTTTTTTTTTTTTTTAATTAAGTTTTTTCTCACATAGTTCGCAACCGCTGCGCCGTCCACATCTGGTGCCGCACGTGAATCGTTCTCACATGTCTCGACAAATGTCTGCTTTACTAGCAATCAGAGAAGCTTTGATTCTATATAAATCATAATTAACACACGCTGCCATTTGCAAAGTTTGTAGCGTCGCGTCATAAGGAATTATCTAAAAACAAATCCCCGTGTTTTCCGTACTTGTAGATAGAAAGCCTAAAATTTCAACTTTTAAACAGGTACAGACGACGAACCAATGGTTCGCCCAATACTGTAGTATCTTCACTTTAACGATGGTTTTTCTCAACGAGCCTGTCTATGACTCTAGCATTTCCGTCTTCTTGCTATTTTCAGGCAGTCAATGTTGGGCTTTTTGGAAGGGAAGAAAATAGAAGAAAACAATGTCGCCAACAATTATATAAGTACAACGCAACAGCGCGCGGCTCCTTATCAGGCCGAGTGCAGAGTCCAGCAGATATATAATATTAGAATTATAATAACATTGTTCCTTTTTATTTGTACAAATGGTAGAGAAGGAGGAGAAAAAAGCTAGGAAAGACACTTAAGACTGCTTACGTGTAGGAATACGAAAGCCTTCCTACACGCAGCGCATTCCTGCAAGCAGCGCTCAAAGTCTTTTTTCACGCGGCGCACCGGCGGTGACATCACGCTCCCCCACTGCGCATGCGCGGTGCCCGCCGCTGGCTCCATGGCTTCCGTGACGATCCATCTGCGTTTCTGTGCTTTTCTTCGTGTTTTATTTCTGAGGCGCGTCCGCTTTGATCTTGAGCGGCCCCGCCGGCTTTTGTGACAAAGCGTCTGATATGCCACGTCGCAGCCAATGGGAATTTAAGGCTCGTTTTGCTGCTACAGACAACGCCGGCTTCGCTCCATGAGACAGTTAATGCTTGAGAATTAAAAAGCTTCAAAATGAAGCTTGATTAGTCCACCGACCCACAGGCAGTTGGTGAGCAGGCCGTATATGGAGTGAAAAAATAGAAAAAAGACGTGCAAAAAAAAAAAAAAAAACTTGTACAGCAATTAGAGTTTTACCGATACGATAAGTTTGACAGTAATTAAACTAACAGTATAGGATGTATACTGGTACACATCGCGACACTGTTAGCGCGAACACGACATCGGCGCATTTTCGCATTTTACTTCTAAATAGTATTAGCGAACACGAAATTTCATCACTTAAATTATAGAACTAAATGAGCTCTTACCGTAGCAATAATAACTTGGATGACATCTCTTGGTTTCAAAGAGAAAAACTGGAAAAACCACCGATCGCTTGTTCGCGCTAACAGTGTCGCGCTCTGTACGTGTATGTGGTTTTATGTTAACGAATAACGCGAAACGATTAATGCAGTCCGTCTTGCTTCGCAGGGAACGTTTTTTTGGGTGCTATTCTGGACAATTGCAGGGTCGGATTATTTTCTCTGACAGCATAAGAAACATGGGGCGGGGTGAGCCTTAAGAATCTAATTGTCGCTCTCACGATAGTGTCGCGTTAGTTGATAAGAGCGCAGAAGATCGAATCGCGGAGCAAGAATCCTAAACGTAATAGGTGTTTCGCCAGCTGAAAGCGGTTATAGTCAAAACAATACTCTAACGTGATTCTGATGATTCTACCTCCGTTCATATAGGCATGTACCCTAATAAAAAGATGCGACGTGATTCCCTTCCCCTGTTAGTCACTCAAGCGATAACTTTAAATGTCATTTGTTTCTGCGGCAAGAATAAATAAATGGATAAACGGGTTATCTCCTTTTGATCGAATCACTTGTATCTCTAATTTTCGAGTTAAAATGTCTCTAGGCTGACATTCTGTGTAAATGTGCGACATCAGTCGTATAAAAGATTCGACGAAGTTTTTGTTACCCCTCACTATCTTTACAAAAGCACGGCATAGGTCAGCATGAAAAAAAATATAGTTTGCATTTTATGCCTTCGGATGAACGCCCAGTACATTTAAAAAAGAACGAAGATACTCTACTCCGTCTTGTGCGCAAAACAGATGCATACTGCCCACAATGGGCACAAATGCGCTTACATTGTGCAGTCACCCGGAAAGCTCGCGGAGGTGTCTCCACCGCGCAAATGTCGAACCATTATTATTAAAAACCAAGTGTGATGGTAAGGTACAGACCAGAGCCGTATGTGGGGAGAGTTCGGTGAATGAAAGGAGCGGGCAGAGCCAGGGCGTACACCAGACGCAGAAAGAGAGCTTGACACGCTCTCTTGAAAAAACATAATCCGAAAACAATCCCCTACCGGTAGTAGCGAGAAGCAGTTTTATTAAGCGCGTAAGAGTTAAATGTAGTAACTCTTCATGGCTGAACATATGATGCACGTGATGTTTCGATTATGACCATGCAAACAGATGTAAGAATCGAATGTGCCCCTCGAATACTGTTTGGCTCGGACGGAGTCTGACCGCTCGGACGGCAGACTCTGGGCCATCGGCGCCAGGCGTACGGATTACGTCGATCGCTCTTCTAGATTTGTATATGGTATGACCGTGATTGAAAAAAATCATGTGCCCCATATTTTCCGTCACCGAGAGTAACTCCGACGCACTTAATAATTTTGTTTTTCGCGACCCCCGCCAGGGTATTATTCGCAGCTTCTTGCTGTCCACATTCGAATTTGTGGAGACGCCCTGGAACACGTCCAGTTCGCTTTCGAGCAATGGTGCCTCCTCATTTGCCTCCTATACGTCGCAGTGTGTGGCCAGGCTCTCTCTATATACAGCTCTGGTACGGACTAGAGACGAGAGAAAAAAACACGTGAGCACAGAACACGACATCTTTCAAAGATGTTGTGTTCTGTGCTCCGTCCTATGCGTTTATTCAATTGGTGTGTACCTGTAGAACAAATAGTTTTTGTTTCTTAATATAAAGACAAAATAAAAGAAAACCTAGATTGAGTGCAAGCGAGGGCAAAACACCGCTCTCGCGTAACAAAAGTATCAAATGTAGATTTCGGTGTATGTTAAACGGGAGAAGATCGCGTAAACTAATAAAAATAATAAGCGGTTAAATTTTATATTTTTGTGCCCCTACCTTTTTTATATTTTTCTCTGCACGACAATGTAAGAGAAGGCGAACTTATCGAGGGTGTGTTTTAAACGATTCCAATTTATATATCAAAGCTATCTTGCATCAAATTAGTCGTCTTGGAAAGTGGTCAAGCAGGACCCTAAAGGTTGTGCGTTACAGCCTGCTTCAATTCGGAAAAAGTTCAGTACAGAAGGAAGTTCGTCTGCCTCCAAACATATACTGTAAGAAATCTGGTAAGAGAAGGCGAACTTATCGAGGGTGTGTTTTAAACGATTCCAATTGATATGTCAAAGCTATCTTGCATCAAATTAGTCGTCTTGGAAAGTGGTCAAGCAGGACCCTAAAGGTTGTGCGTTACAGCCTGCTTCAATTCGGAAAAAGTTCAGTACAGAAGGAAGTTCGTCTGCCTCCAAACATATACTGTAAGAAATCTGGTAAGAGAAGGCGAACTTATCGAGGGTGTGTTTTAAACGATTCCAATTGATATATCAAAGCTATCTTGCATCAAATTAGTCGTCTTGGAAAGTGGTCAAGCAGGACCCTAAAGGTTGTGCGTTACAGCCTGCTTCAATTCGGAAAAAGTTCAGTACAGAAGGAAGTTCGTCTGCCTCCAAACATATACTGTAAGAAATCTGGTAAGAGAAGGCGAACTTATCGAGGGTGTGTTTTAAACGATTCCAATTGATATGTCAAAGCTATCTTGCATCAAATTAGTCGTCTTGGAAAGTGGTCAAGCAGGACCCTAAAGGTTGTGCGTTACAGCCTGCTTCAATTCGGAAAAAGTTCAGTACAGAAGGAAGTTCGTCTGCCTCCAAACATATACTGTAAGAAATCTGGTAAGAGAAGGCGAACTTATCGAGGGTGTGTTTTAAACGATTCCAATTGATATATCAAAGCTATCTTGCATCAAATTAGTCGTCTTGGAAAGTGGTCAAGCAGGACCCTAAAGGTTGTGCGTTACAGCCTGCTTCAATTCGGAAAAAGTTCAGTACAGAAGGAAGTTCGTCTGCCTCCAAACATATACTGTAAGAAATCTGGTAAGAGAAGGCGAACTTATCGAGGGTGTGTTTTAAACGATTCCAATTTATATATCAAAGCTATCTTGCATCAAATTAGTCGTCTTGGAAAGTGGTCAAGCAGGACCCTAAAGGTTGTGCGTTACAGCCTGCTTCAATTCGGAAAAAGTTCAGTACAGAAGGAAGTTCGTCTGCCTCCAAACATATACTGTAAGAAATCTGGAGCGACTACTGTTCCGCAAAGAAATTTCGAGAGCCAATCGCCGCAATCTACGGACGGAGCTCGGCGAAGGGCGAGGCGGATACTATTTTTAAACATAACAAAATCTACGCTGTGGCAGTTTTTCTTTTCTTCTTTAAGTAACACATGTTTCGCTTTGTCAATGGACTAGCCCCCTTCATAGGTTGCAGCATCTGCTTTGCAGGAAAGCAGCTGCTCCAGGGGTCCGATTTTGGTCACGAGGGTGAGAGCAAGTTCAATTAGCTTCTCGCAAAACGAGCGTAGATAGCGTTCCTAGACGGTGCATCTGTCAACGCGAGCGAAGAACGCGGTTCGTCTGCTGCGAAGCGTCATTCGCAAACGGAAATAAACAAAAATACCATACGTCGCCTTTTTTCTTGTATGACGTTAGAGTTCTAATGTCAAAGGACGTACTGTTGAAAAAGCTCTTCTTTTTCTCTCTCTTTCCTTTAAAGTTTTGGCTTCCGAGGACGAGGAGCGCCTGGTGCGAGATCTTTTTCGGGACTACAACAAGCTGATCCGGCCCGTGGAAATAATGAACATGACGGTGGAAGTCCAGTTTGGGTTGTCCTTCATCCAGCTCATCAACGTGGTGAGTGACCTTGACCCTCTCCTTGTCATTTGTTTTTTCTTTTAAGTTGTTAGCTCTAAAAAGCTCTAGTATACTTGGCTCCTACAAAACGTAAACTATAGGAGATGTTGTCCAGTTCATGAAAAGTGGGGCAAGTCTTAACGCTCTAAAACGCTGGCTCAAATTGTTCACTTCACCGCATAGCTCACGGAGATTCAATTACTGCGGTTTACAAATTGACCGAGGCTTGGAGGTATTCGATTCCGCCGCGTGCGCCTTCGAGTGCGGGCGTTTTATTAAACCTTTTTTTAAAATCCCACCAAGCAACGTAGGCGGTCATCATATTTTGGGCCCGAAGTGTGTGATTGGATTCAAGTTCTCACCAAACGGTGACGCGACACTTATTGTCGGAAGAATAAGTTGACTTTCACCGGAAACGGAGCGCAACTCGCGAGCCGAGTTCACGACGAACGCCAACCGCGCCTTCATGTCCATGCCTCCACTGTGTGATAAAACTATGGTGGACTAATAATTTGTGCAGCAACTACTAGAAGGCGAGCACTTTTGAAAATGGTCTATTTAAGCACGAGGTCTCGATGTTCCATTATCAAAACGACCATGTCCTATAAAAATATTCGAAAGACAAACATTTTTATCGTAGTAGTTTACTTCAAGCTACTTTCAGGCTCGATCAAGGTAAGCACTAGGGTGCCTCAATGTCGTTCTGTTTAGGGTTATGCCATTCTTTGTAGCACACAAGGCCTACAGCACGCGCATTCGCGAAATATCCAAAGAAATGGCTGGTAACAAAATGCCGCCGCAGCACTGTCAACGTCCAAAGCTCGTGCCAGGTGACGCGCTTTCACGCGCTCCGTAACAAAAAAGAGACACGAGCGTTCGGAACAAAATGGTCAGATGTCATCACCATAAAGAAAGCGCATATGAAGGGACCCTAGAAGGTGCATGATGGCGGAACACTAAGCGCGGGGAAGCAATTCGCGCGGTTGCCATACTGGTTGTGGCATTTCAGAAGTGAGGACTATATTTGAGCAACGTTGATCGGCGCACAAATTGCTCGAACACCCGTGCGTCCATAGCTTTGATTGCATTGCCAAAGTTGTCCCCGAATATAGACATTTCCAAACAGGCCATCTGGCGGCCGCCATCTTCCTCCTGATCTGATCAAGCGAGGGTAATTGCAGGCCTGCCAAAGCTATCTTCGCGCGCAAGCTGCACGTGCTTGTATACATGAGGCTAAATCTTATCTAGCAAAGTTGCACGGGGCAGCAGTCGGGACGCCATGCTCGCAATTATCGCCGAGATGTTTCGGTGGCGTTCTACGGTGTCCGTTCGTTACATCATGACCTGGGTCTGCCTCACCGTGACGTCACAAGTTGTAATCACGGGTCTTTATTACTAGCTTCGAACCGCAAGTTCGATGGTGTGTGCATAAAACACGGCGGAAGCTTGGAGTCATCATATTCCTAAACCAACACCGTCAAGGTTTACAGTCCGACATTGTTCGTATTTCCGTCGGTGAAAGCAGAATTATTCCAAATCAAGACGTCATATTGAGCGCTTCGCCAACGCGAAGGGTGACCACAGCGGCGCTTTTGGTCGTACTCATCGCCAGCAGCTGTGCCGCCTTACTGATGGCTGGATCTCTCCCAGTAGAGGAGACTTTAACCCGAAGTAATACTGGTATCGTAACCAAAAACAGGTAACAAGCCAAGCGAGATTCGGGAGCCGAGAAACTTTAGTTCAAGCAAAGAGGGCAGTCAATTCGTTGACAGACCTGGGGAACGAAGGAAATGAGGAGGAAAGACGTGACTCAATTTATTCTGGGGAAGACGTAGGTAGCCATTTTGAGGACTGTCTGCAGAACCATGATCGGGGGCACAAAACAGCAACTAAGGCGCTGCGACTGGTGATTTGGATGGAAGATTCGAGTCATCAGTCGAGCAGAGTTAAATATATGAAGCACGAAAAAGAAACGCTACGCTTCGTTTCACCTTTAGTCCGAATACAACCGACGCTATGAGCCGTATGGGCCCAATCAAACAGCGGTATGAATGCAACGTTTTGGCTTTCCTATTTTTCTTTTCTACGCTTTCTATCATCTGCTAAGAAAATCAAACGCAGTGAATGATCGGTGGCTTGCGAGTTTAGTATGTGTGCCGGTGTCTGTATGTGTTTAAGCCTTCGACCGCGCTCAAACCTATCATGAAAGCTAATCGATCCGCGTAAACTACATATAGAGCACAGAAAACTTAAGCTGCATTTCTGCTGCTTCCGTTATGCCCTCCCATTCACCGCGTGTATCTGTGGTAAGAATAAAGTTCGCATCGTATCGTAACTTGGGATGATGAGAAAGAAACCTTCTTTAAAAGCAATCCCGACAAAACGTTTTGACCCCCTGCAAAAACGCAGCTACCTATATATATAATGCTTTTACGTTTTGTGCGCATGTCCTTACGCGAGTGTGTGTGTGTAGAAGAAGAGGGGGAGGGGGGGGCTCTTCTACCACATGACTTCACAATTAGTCACACGCACGCCCAACTTGCTCACCAAACGTCGGCGCCCGCGACCGTTGAGACGAAATGTGTTAGCGTGTTCTATTCGAGGTTTCTACAAATAGAGGGCGTCCCGAGAACACCTTCCGGTATACAATGAGCCGGAAAAATTGGCGCCTGCACGTACTGTAGAAAACTCAAACGTTCACCGAATGTGCACTGAGACGAACAGTTTTGTCGCTAAAGTCAAGGTTGGACGCGTTCGCAGATGAACGAGTTAGCGACGCTATTTACTAATGGCGCTATCTCCCAATAGACGCTTTTGCAAACGACGGACTCCGTTGTCTGCTGGCGGCGCGTATGGTGCAATAGCGCCACAAAAAAAACCCGTCGCTAAAGGCCTGTCCGAATAGGAATCGTGAGCCGACACGACTCCGACATAAGTCGTTCGGTGGTCCGCTTCCGTCCGTTTTCTTTTTTTTTTTTTTTTGCCGGGTTTACATTTTTTTTTGGTCAAATTTCACCTTGTTTTCCACGGGGGCCCTGAGCATGTCAATCACGTCCGCCACTAACAAGCTCTGTTGGCTGTCGGTCAATCACTCAAGGCCTCCACTTCTCTTTAGGTCTTGAAAGCGGGAAAGGAAAGAGCAGGAAAGGAAAAGCGACAAAGTTTAACCAAATAGATCCGAGCTACACCGGCGGGTCGTGTCACGTGATAATACAGATAGAGCGACGCTGTACGCGTGTAGGTTTTCTAACGCAGAGGTACAAAAGCCTTACCCTGGAGTAAGATCGAGTACATTTTGGACCACTTCAAAAGATACGGGGGCCCGGCAGGACAAACGGACAGCATTGACAGGTGGCGTGTGACGTCAAGTTTGACCAGCACTGAGCTCACCGAAAAGCGGAGGAAGCGAGGAGGAAAATCGTTATTTTGGCTCGGTGATGTTCAAACGAACATGGGACTGCCGGACGCTTCAACTTTTACGATTTTGGCCGGAGTCGTGTCGCTTCACGATTTATGAAGTGTCCTGATTGGACAGGCCTTACCTCCGGCCGTCTGCGAACTCGTACAACCTTGAATTTGTCAGGTTCTCTGCTCTCATTTGTTTATAGCAAGTGAACTATACGCCTTGAAATTTCACGCGGTAAAAATGACCTGTTCAGTGCACATTCTTTGAAAGATTGTGCTTTCTTTGTGCAAGCGGCGAGTTTTCCGGCTCGTTTTACGGCGGAAGGTTCACTCGGGACACCCTCTATATGCTAGAATCTACAGTCACAGACGACTTAAGAAACTCAGGGGTGGCCGATTGTGTTCACGCTTTTTTGCTTCATGTGTGCTTTCTTGTCTGGTAATACCGCTGTCCCCTTGGTTGCTGACAATAACAGACTGCTCGAAACTCCACACGCCCGGTGTTGCTTACGCTCTAGGTGAGTATGCGGAGAGCAAGTCGTCTTCTTCTTGCGCTGGAGTTGCGGTGACGTCATAACGACGCCGCGCTCTGATTGGCTTTGGTTGGAAGGATAGTGGGCAGACCTTATTGCTAGATGCCTTGAGGTCTACCCACTATTTCTTTCAATCAGCCAATCAGAGCTCGTCGTTCTTACATCATCGAAAACCCATGTGTAAGAAGCAGATGAACTTGCGCTCCGCATAGGCTGTCTCGGGAAGCCCAATTTGACACAAGCCAGCCAGTAATAAAATTTACATTCCATTTGTATGACCCACAAGTTTGTTGTGATTGCTTTTTTCCGGGGCCCATTAGCTTCGTGGACATGACATCCGGGAGCCGGTGGATTAAGTTTTCTAAACCCATTCATCGTGTTCTCATATTTGCATTTGAATGTGGGAGGTTCTCGCTTTGCATCAATCACGTTGAGCCATAAATGTGCGTCTGAAGTGTCGCTCTTCCTTTTTGTTTGATCATTTTGCAAGCCTAGGAAATCTTGATATTTCCAAAGCTTGCGTACCATAAGATTGCCAAGAAAGAAAGCTACGGGAACGAAGCAACAGAAAACAAGACACGTGAAAGTTGACCATGAATGTAGAATAAGTTAGTGTGAAGTGTACAGTAACTTTATCATGAACTCGCATAGAAAAACAAAGACTCGCAACTTTGTTTTTCTATACGAGTGACACAGAGGTTGCCATAATGACCCAGCTCCTCTGACATGCCCGGTTGAGGCTAGGTAGCATATGGCATAAAATGGACTATTTCATCATAACTCTTGCCGAGGGGCTACTTCCGCTCTTCCTCCGGACGAGCCTTTCATATGCCGTAGCAAAACTGCGCAATGCCAGGGGGGAGCACTGCCCTTAGAACATAATGGCGAATGAAGCATAGAAATAGCTGCTCCCTTTTTTGTCAGAACGCATGCCACCATTAGTCGTTATGTGAAAGGAGCTTGCTTGCCTCCGTGCAGAACCTTTCATTTGTGAAATTGGCAAGTAAAAAGAACGACAGGTATGACTGGCATTGTTCAATGACGTGGGCAAGTAAATTGTTGGTAGTACGAGGCGTACGAGCCAGTACTTCGTCAGCTCTCGGACGCTATTACTAGCATGTGGTTGCACTACTAAGAATCAACGTAGCGTCCCATTTTTTATCTGCGGTGGATAAAGGTAAAAACAAAAGAAAACGAAGAAGGACGCAAATAAGTTGGAGGCGTATTTAATCACACGTGATTTGGTTTTAAGCATTTATGGTGCCACTGAAATGAGGATTGGACTATTCCTCAAATGTCACTGACTTAGCTGTGCATTCAATTAAGGTTCTTTTGATGGGGCTTTCTTTCTAGATTAACCAAACACATAGGTGGTAAATTACCTGCAGTATTTTACTAGCGTGGTACAGATACATGTTCTATATTTAAATTAACCTTCGAACCAAAAAACATTAGCTGTAAGATCACTACCAACCTTTACCACGAGTCGTCGCAGCTCAACTGTGACGCCATAGTTGTCTGCGTCGATAAGCTGTCTATAGTCTTATGATAGTGTAAGTGCGGAATCAAGTGACGTGACGAAGTAGCCAGAGTGTGGGTCAGCTGGACGTAGACTTACTGCACCCTGAGCAGTTAGTTAAAGGGAAGCTACGGAGCTTCTTGGAAAAAATGAGTTAGAAGTGAATTCTAGTGTATTTTTACCCCGTGAACCCGAATACCCAAACCATTTGCTGCGTAAGTATTGTTAAACGCGAGAAAAACGCAAAAGACAGTCGCTGTCCATGACGTCATCGACGGCTCTTTTGGCTGCCCAAGGCTAGGGGGGCGGGGCTTCAGCCCTATTTTGAAATTGCTCTTGTGGTTCTCCGGCGCGTCGCATTGAAATATAATTTTGATATCTGTTATTCTAAAGACCAAATGAACGCAATTCAAGCGTTTTTTCTCAAATGTAGAAGTGCCCCATCTTCCCTTTAACGTTGCCTTCGGGTGGCAAGTCATGAGCTCAGTTCAGTGTACACCAATAGGAGAACGGACGAAGTAGAAACGACAACCCATTTGCTGCCAGTCGGTTAACGTTGCCTTCAGATGGCAAGTCATAAACGCAGTCTAGACCAATGGGAGGACGGATAAAGCGGAAGCGAGTAGGCCCGCATTGGCTGCCCATTGTGTCGCCGGCGACACGAAGGCTGAGCCCGAAGTCGTCCCCGAAGTTGTCGTGTCAATCTTGCGGGGGTCGGCCAAAAGCTAGTGCTAGCAGCATGCCGAGCAGGGCCATAAATCTGCGGTCCTGAGCCGCACCGCCCATCTCCCTTTTCGTCCGACAAAGCCCGAAACTTTCCGACTCGGCGTCAAAATCAATACGGCTTTGAAAGTTGGGCCATTTTTCTCGGTTTGCGAGCCCACTTGATCCTCGCCGAACCATCGGACGTGCGCGGCCTCTGATGGTCCCACCTCTCGTTCTTCTTCGGGAAAGACATTGCGATCGTGTGGCCGCCAAGCCTTTCCTCCGGAATTGTCGTCGTAGTTTTCGGACCCCTTTCGAAGCTGCCTCTCGGCGAAAGACGCGCACGTCCCACGCTGATGCCCCTATGTCGCTCTTCTTTCTTCACAGAACGAAAAGAACCAGATCATGACGTCCAACGTATGGCTCCAGCTGGTGAGTGCGAGTTCTGCCTCCCCGAGGTTCGTTGGGGGTGCAGGTATGCCGCGAGCCGTGGCCTTGCAGGTGTGGACCGACTACCAGCTCAAGTGGGACGAGGCGGACTACGGGGGAATCTCGGTGTTGCGGCTGCCTCCGGACAAGGTGTGGAAGCCGGACATCGTCCTGTTCAACAAGTAAGAGCTCGCGCGCGCCCCCTCCTTTTGTGGCGGGTACCCTAACGGGGCCTCGCGGGGCCGTGGGGGGGCCCGTGCAGTGCGGATGGCAACTACGAGGTGCGCTACAAGTCGAACGTGCTCATCTACCCGAGCGGGCAAGTGATGTGGGTGCCGCCGGCCATCTACCAGAGCTCGTGCACCATCGACGTGACGTACTTCCCGTTCGACCAGCAGAAGTGCGTCATGAAGTTCGGCTCGTGGACGTTCAACGGCGACCAAGTGTCCTTAAAGCTGTATAACGACAACTACTGGGTGGACCTGTCCGACTACTGGAAGAGCGGCACCTGGGACATCGTGGAGGTGCCGGCCTTCCTGAACCGGCACAACAACAGCAAGCAGAGCCGCCCGACGGAGACGGACATCTCCTTCTACATCACCATCCGGCGCAAGACGCTCTTCTACACGGTGAACCTGATCCTTCCGACGGTGCTCATTTCGTTCCTCTGCATCCTCGTGTTCTACCTGCCGGCCGAAGCTGGCGAGAAGGTCACCCTGGGCATCTCCATCCTGCTGTCGCTGGTCGTCTTCCTGCTCCTCGTGTCCAAGATCCTGCCGCCGACGTCGCTGGTGCTGCCACTGATCGCCAAGTACCTGCTGTTCACTTTCCTCATGAACACCATGTCCATCCTGGTGACGGTGATCATCATCAACTGGAACTTCCGGGGGCCCCGCACGCACCGCATGCCCAACTGGATCCGCGTCCTCTTCCTCAAGTACCTGCCGGCCATGCTGCTCATGAAGCGGCCCAACAAGACGCGGCTCCGCTGGATGATGGAGATGCCCGGCGTGGGCATGCACCACTACCACCCGCGCCAGCCACCGCCCCCGCCGCCTCCGCCGCCCCCACCGCCGCCCCCGCCGCCGCCGCCGCCCCACCTGCTCCAGCCGCCGCCCCTCAAGCCGCACGCGGCGCCTGCCAAGGCGCACGAGTGCCTCGAGCTTGCTGACGTGCACCATCCCAACTGCGCGCGCAAGCTCGGGGCGCCGCACCCTCCCCCGTCGCTGGGCCGCAGGGACTCCGAGGCCCCGGACTCGGCCAACGCCGACGTGCTCTACCTCAGCCCGGAGGCGTACCGCGCCACCGAGGCCATCGAGTTCATCGCCGAGCACCTGCGCTGCGAGGACGAGTACATTCAGGTGCGTTCGTCTGTCTGTCTGCTTGCTGCTCGCCAAGCGCCAGCTTGAATAATCAAAGCCTGTGAAGTGCATCCTCTTTATTCACGCTACGCCAATACACTCGTATGGCGCAAGCAGAACGGCCCCAGCCCGTCGCTGAGCTTCCTTCGACATTCCGACGAGTTTCAGCCGACCACTGAGGCAGTACTCGTGTCCAATCTGCGCTCGGTATCACCGTGATGACGTCTAAAGTGCGCGGATGATTACTCACAGGATGAGAACGACAGGGGGTATTTCAGTTGTCTGGCCTCCAGCGCGAGCTTTCTACCTTTGATAATTCGCTTACGCGTCTCGTGTGCCTTGATGGTGCTCGCGCGGCCCCAGCACGGCGAAAGGCAACCAGCGCATCTGGAGGCCGGGTCTCAAAGCAGACGCTCTGACATTCTTATCCTGTTACTAACTATACGCCTCGCAAGTGGGCTCATTTTCGTCTTCTGCGCATGAGAAAGGAAGTAGCGGAGACGTCAGAACGCCGAGCCCTGATTGGCTGATCGCGACCCCCTATCTCAGCGTCGTCTGCCCATTTGCAACGTCATCTGCTCGCAACATCGTCTGCGTCTGTCTTACCTTTCCTGCGACTTTCGGAAGTGCAGGTCTTTACGAGCGAACTCGACTTCGCCTTTCAGAGAGGGCAGATGAAATAACTCGAGCGGTACGTTGTTTTTGTCTAACAACTAGCAGACGCGCATCAAGGAGGGAAGTCAAAGGACTCACTGGGGAGGTGTCCCGACTCCCGAGGCGCCGAGGTTTGCTTGCTAAGAACCGAGAGTGAGCGTGTTAGTGTCCGCAAGTTCCCTCCCAAATACTTTTTCCCTCCATTCGTGTGCGGCGAAACCCCTTACTCTTTAACAGCGTAGGCTGGTTGGCGCAGTTAACGTCGTCTGCTTTACGTCTGCTAGTCAAAGCGATGGCTGCTTTACCTTTCCTGCGTCTGTTGGAGATTCACCGCTTTTTCACCGGCGAGTCACCGTTTCCTCGGGAAACAAGGAGATAACAAGAGGAAGAAATTGATCTCTTAATCTAAAATTGAGGTCAGCGATCAAAGTATAATACGGGAAGGGTTCACAAGGGTCGCGCGGGCATATTTCCTTCAGCACGCCAGCCGGTCATGGGCAAACGGTCACCGAGTCGCGGAGTGCCTGCTAGGCCTAACTGCCGAGCTCGCTTGGTCGCGTTTGGTGGAACCCTGGCCGTTGGAGCTTTTCCCGGGTGTTTGCGGATCCAGCGTTCTTGTTTGTCGTGGTCTGTTTCAAGTACTTTTTACTTTTTGCTTGCTGCTTGAAGTCGCAACGCGTGAGAAACGCACGTAGAGAAATAAACGTCCGTGGGTCGTCGCGACCGCGGCGCTGTCGGCCATGCTGATTTGATCGTAAGAAGTGCGTAAGACAGCTTCGGAGCTGTCGTAGGATTTCGTCGTAACCTGCGCAAAACTTAAGAAAATTTCGTTTCGTGAATACGAATTTGTTCTTAAGTTTTGTCTTACGCACATTTTTGCCGTAAGATCGTTTCGTGAATCTGGCCTCTGCACTTCCGAAAGTCGCAGGAAAGGTAAGACAGACGCAGACGACGTTGCGAGCAGACGACGTTGCAAAGGAGCAGACGACGCTCAGATAGAGGGTCGCGATCAGCCAATCAGGGCTCGGCGTTCTGACGTCACCGCTACCCCCTGCGCAAGAAGCAGACGAACTTGCCCTCCGCATAGCTGGTGTTGCGTAAGCCAGCCACTGCGTCGCTGGCACCATATTGGCTCTTGTTCTCATCGTCCTCGGGACAGTGAAGCTTCCGCGTCTTGACCAGGTTGAAGTGGTTTATAATAGGACGGACTTCGCAAATGTTTTCTACGATGATGTCAGTCTCCTTCAGTTTGCACATTGCGTAGTGCTACACTCGCCACGTTGCATCTATAGGGAGTTATAGGGATACGCTATCGGATCGGGCTGAAACTTTGGCATCTGGTTGTGACCTCTAGCGCTACCTTTGGGCGGAGAATGAGCATTCGGCGATGCCTAGGTTATTTTTGCGGTGACAAAAACTCTGAATTTTTTTTTTTTGTGACACCCTGTATTTACTGAGCTGAGTGCATTGTTTTGGCTTTGGAGTCTCAAACATTATTGGGGAATGTTGTACAAAGGGCCTGAGTTTAATGAAAGGTATAAGATTTCTCAATTATCTCCTGGTCTGTAGGGAAAGCAGCCTTTCCGCGATCTTTGGCGTTTCTTAACATGCCGCCTAGTCAGGATCGATATAACGAAAATACCTAAACACGTATTCTACGTGAGCGGATTTTAACATAGCCAATACCAAGGTCAATTGACCAAAGCTTTTACTGCGGCAAATTTTGTGTACCGATATGAAAGTATAAATTTTAAATTCAATGTCTGCTGGCGGGGATGTTTAATCTGTGCACCTCCAAAAACATGACACAGAGACGTGTGTTCCTCTTTTGTTGGTCGTCGCTGTAACTCTTGAATTTAATACCTCAGCCAACCATTTGCCTCAGCAGTTTTACATCGTCGTTAAACACAGGCCAGTTAGATTTTTCCGTCAAGTAAGCACTGAAATTATACCAGGTGTCCGTACACTACGGATTACAAATAGGAGCTGGTTGAAAACTGGAGTCCCATATTTTATTTATTGAAGCCTATTCAGGAGAGTGGCCGCGTTTTGTAATTTGCGTGCGCGCTTCACATCATATTTTACACGTGTCCTTTTTGTTTCGGCAACAAATAAGTGGATTTTTTCTTTATTCATTTATTTACATTGTACTTTCAACGCCGTGTGGAAATTATTGTTTTTTTTTTAAACATTGTGACAAGTGGTACTAGTATTTATGTATTAATTTTCCCTGAAACAATGGACGATTTGATACAAATTTTATGATGCGCTTTGTGTTCTATTATAAACATAAGCTTTTGTTATCAACGATATTTCGATAAGCCTTTATATAAATGATTGATATACCCATAAGTTTTATTATTTGCCTCAAAGTTAGGTTGCAATAAAATATTGAACGTTTCTTTATATTCTTTAGGGCCATGACCTACGACGCTATTCAATAGCTGCAGAACGTCTTTCGGGCAGTTGAATTAAATTAAACACAAAAATGCGATTTTGTTTGCAGAATGCTAATTTTCTGTTAGAAATCGTGCTATTTAGAGAAACCTGAATACGTTAATTTGCACTAAGCCACAGTTTATCGAGAAAACCGTCGAGGAGTACAGGGGGCACAAACGCCCAAAATACGCTAGAGGTCAACGCGCTAGACAGGTCTCACGTTCGTCCATATCAGATGGGGGTATATCGTGCGCGTGCGCAGACCCATCACACACATTCCCTCAAAGTGAAGCGTGTACGCATGCACCGCGCAGACGGCAGCAGTCACGTGCTGTCAGAGCCGCGCGTTGATGCGCGCGTCACATCGGTGGCCACTAGTGGCGGCCTTGCTTCGGAGCGCGTGTACCATCCGCATAGATACACTTTTGCAGCGCCGAATTTATCTTTCTCGACATCGAAAGAATGTGAATGTCTATACCCGCATGCTGCGACGGCGTTCTTATACAAGCCCCTATATATGCCCCGCGAGGTTCCTGTATATCCGGGCTTTCTTATTGTTCAAGATTCGACTTCGATGGCTATAGTCCGTCCAAGGCATCAGTTCTAGAATAGTTACTAAATATCAACTTTTGCAATGTTTTTCTTTTTTTAACTGTTACTGATGAGGGGTAAAATATTTCTTGCCACTTTTATTTCGTGCTGGCGGTCACTTGATCCTTCAAACTAAACGTTCAATGTGGCGTACTTGTGCCCAAAACAAAAAGGAAACAGAAGATAAGAATAGAGCGTCGCGGGCGTCGATACCGGCGTAACAGCAGGATCGAACGCTGGGGCGAGTGACTCCGCTTGCCATGCGGAGTCCCTTATGTACCCTCGTGGCTTTCTGGAACATTCGGCGTAGAACTTTCGGCGCGTAGAAAATTGGGAACTCGATCAGCTCGAACTTATGAAAACGCGAAGTTGAAAGAATAAATAAAAGGACAGTCCGCTGACTCTCCTCCAAGATGTAAAATTGTACAGCCGAAGGCACTGTTTAAATCTTCAACTTTGCTGTCCGGGTAGCATGTATGCTTTCTAGCACTGGTGGCATAAGCTAGCAAGTTCAACAGGCTTGCAAAGACCGTGCGACCGGAAGTCGCTTCGGACGGAAGCGATAGTTCATTTTTGTAAAGAGCAAAAGGGTCTATACCAAATGATGGACAAAACAAACGTAAATGCACTATACAAAAACTCTTCATATATGAAAGGCTAGTGACGTCCCTCCCCACGTCGCAAGGTGCCACCGCCGCGGCAGCTTGCGCAACAGTAATCTTTACCGAGAAATGTATGCGGTGAGCGCTACGTGCTTCGCATTGTTTAAACAAGCGCCTATCATCAAATATGTGGTTCGGATGCTTGTTTTGGGCTTGTTCTTTATTGAAACGCTGTGATATATGTTGCATGCGTGATATGCACTTTTTGCTTCAATCGCTGAAGATCTTTTTTTCGTGAGGTCGACGACACGATAAAGTTCCGTAAATCCGACTTGTGAGTCCCCCATATACAGCTTCTCTGTAAAACTCGTGAATAAGTGACTGGAATGCACTACCTCAGTCCATTGTATCAATTACTGATCACGATTTATTCATAGCAGAGTTCACGCTTATGTCTCGTCGCAGATTAGAATGTTACAAGCAGCTGTTGAAAGTGAATGGTTGTTCCTGCATTTGTATATTTTACGCGAAAGCGTTAAGGAGCTCTTGTCACAGAAACCCACCGTCGGTGGCGTGCACTAAAATCCACGATTGGGTGGTAGAGTCATGACTTCGCAACCACATGACCTCGCGCGGCAATTTCAAACAACCCACAAAGCTCACGTCACGCGTTGAATGAAAGTGATTAAGAAACATGACATGTAATGCGAATGA